TATACTTGACGAACACACAAAACCGACACATTCCAATGGGCCAACACTGGGCCTATATTCTCAGTCAACTGACTGCTTAACCGGGAATTTAATTGGCAAATGGTTTTGGTTAAGGTGGTTCATTGAATTATAGATCCTCGTATACAATTTAAACTTGAGAGACTACAACAAGATACAACAATAACATACAGTAAGCCTAGTGGTCAGGACTCAGAATCGGTGAAGGAGGGACTCTCGAGGTCAGCCATGCTTGCAGAGGCAAATGACTCGAACGAGTCCATGGTGGAAAGTGAAGAAGTTCCTAGGGAATCTGTGTCTGAGTGGTCATCGTCAATGTCAGGGAGGACAATGTGACCCTCTTCTTCACACTCGTATTCTTCAGGTTCTGAAGCTTCGTCAGAGCCCATTAGTAGCCTGTTGATAGCTGACTTGGCGGCCTCCGTGAACCACTCGGTCTTCGGGAGTGAGCTGACCAGAGAGAAGATAGACGTTTAGTAAATTCGATGTTGAAATCGAGTTGGAGAGACTTAACAGTTTACAGAGTGTTTTTTGAGTTACCTTTCTGGGTTGATGCCTCTTGAAGAGAATATGTTGATGGCTCGATTAATCACGACTGATGCATGGTTCTGTACTACTTTAAATGGATAACCCGCAAACCGGGCTATCTCAACTGTGAAGTTCATGTCGAGGATCAACTGCAACACATAACAAAAATTTCAACTTTTAACCCAAATCATCTGTCAAAATCAGGTTTCCATTTTTTTCAATCTTTTGCATTCCGAAGGTCCTCAATCTTTGACCGATGAGCCTGAGCTCAATGAAAAGCTGAAGTACATAGGAGCAATGAAAGAGGGAGTGTTACCTGTTGCAACCCAAATGGCTGAAGTGGAGTTGACTCGTCCTCGAATGCACTCCAAAACTCCTGCTCATTTGATAGCCAGATTATAACTGTCTCGGTTAATCTGGCTAGTAAAATCTTTTGCAGCTTCTCTTTTCCAAGCAGAACATCCCCCGCAATTATGGCCAACTGCTGTAGCTTAGAAAACAATGCCTGCATAAGAAGAGACACGGATGATTCTGTGTGCTAAAATCTATCAACCAGGAACTATGAAACCAGATTGGAGAAGAGGATAATACCTGAAACGGTAAAGAGGGCAGATGCAAGTCATCTGGTATTTCCGTTAAATAAATGAGTGCGTCTAAGCGCGTTAGTCCTTCCCTAGAGTAGATGAAGCTCAAGACAAATTGCAGACAGAAGTAATTTCTAAGTTTGTCGAATGCTTGAACCATATGGCGTTTCCATTCTTTCAATTCCGGTGCAGAGCTATTGTTTAGAGCAGCACTATTCTCACCTTCTCCTCCGCTGTTTTCAATCTGGAGATTCCAGACTTTAAAAAGTGATTTTGGTAAAAGTTCGTCGAGTATTGTAAACGCCGCTCCAAGAAGAGCAAGCTGCTCTGAATCTGTCTCAGCTCTAGCTAGTACAGTATTATCTTGAAGCTCTGGAAGACCGTCCTCATCTGCATGGCCAGGCAAGGCTTTGATCAGAAAGTCGATGTATTTATCATATAGTTGCAAGATCCTCGCCAATACACTTTCACCAAAGTGTAACACAACTAGATGTGATAACTGCTCAAGTATGTCCTGAAAGAACAAATAAGGTTTCAATAAATTTATGTGTCTAGAATCAAAGAAAATGGTAATAACAGTGTCAAAAATCAGCTTACCTGCACGATTTGCATGAATCGAATGCTACAATCAGTCATTGTCGTATCTGAAGCGATAGCGAATTCAGATAATACCGCCACAAACTCAGAAGATGTTTCCAATCCCTCATCAGTTTCGGTCAAGTCAAAGATAACCCTTCGAGCCCGTCTAAAATTCAGCTCCAACACTTCTTCAACATAAGGCCGGAAAAGCACCAAAAACAGCTTGGACAAAATCAACCCTTGTGGTTCCAACACTTTGCAATAGTTAAGACAGTCTTGAAGACAAACACTGGCTGCACGCAATGCAGAAACTGTTTCGGAAGGAGCTGCGTTTTCTTTAACCAATCGTACCAAATACTCCACTTCCCTCTCTGCCCATTGAACAACTTTGTTGGAATACGCGGGATTATCATCATCACCAAACATCCCTGCGGTTTCTTTTGCAGCGATCGATATATTAGAGAAAATAAGCTTAGACAAAGTGGCAGGAAAAGTGTTTGGGCAGATCGAACATGAAGGAAGAAAGGACTCGATTCTTCTGTGGATGCTTGTGGCGTAAAACTTTAGCAGTAATTGGTGAGCTGAAGGTCCTTTTCCAAGTCTGATCAACCCAATCAACGCATGCTTCAGTTCAGCTAAACTAATTGAAGGTTGTTTAGCGATCCTAAGGAGCTGATCCTCAAGAACCGCCTTTCTTTCCATAAAAGCAGACTTGTAAGAAGACATTTCAGCTGATCCTCTAAGATCTGGATTGTTTCTTTCCTCAGCATCCATCGCCTCCAGTGCTTCATCCACCTTATGTTCAGCCAAAAGAAGGTCAATTTTCTCCAAGAACTCAGACTTTGGATCGGTTAATTCCTTAGGCAGGGGATCCTTGACTTCAAAGTTATCTGAGTCATCCACATCACCAGCGGATCGCTTCCATTCATCCATCTCACGACAAAGTCCAGCCATCAGATCCTGCACAACAATCCCCTGGGAAGAAATATGTTTCCGCAGCTCAACCAACTCATGCTCCATCTCCACCGCTTCTTCAGATATTCTACAAAAACAAAACATAAAGATACGAATCTCAGTAACTAGCACAACAGAAACAAAGGAACACGACTTAATCTTGTCTCCAAACAGTACTTGTACAAAACAAGATCTTTTGAATCCGGAATAGCAAACCAAAGAACAAAGAGAAGTTTGGTAGCGTAATGTTACCTCAAGAAAGCAAGGTACTTGGTACGCATATCACCGCACATATTTTCAACAGCATCCTTTAAATCCAAAAGCTCACAACAAAGCTTTCTAATTCCCTGCATGTTTTTAACATTACCAAATCAAAACAGCATAAGAAGTGATCACGAGCAATCTCGCTCTTAGGTTCAAGCACTTTCACTCCAAACTATAATCAATGTTAAGATCGAGGACTTGTGAGTCTTGAACAAGATCAATAAGTAAAATTCGAAATGACCCAATTGAGAAAAAGTATCTCAAAGTGCAATGAATTGGTTCAACAAAAGAAACAACTCCGTAAATGTAGCGAATCAAAGAGAGAGAGTGAAAAAAGAAGAACCTTTTCGGTGAGAGACTGATGAACGGAATTGATCTTTGACTGAGGAGTTATGCTTTCGATCGAAGGAAATTCGTCTTCTTCCTCGCTGCTCTCCATGACTTTCG